ATCTCTCTCTCTCTCTCTCTCTCTCTCTCTCTCTCTCCTCTAATTTTTATGCCATTGTGCCATTATGCCATATTAATTTTTTTACTATCTCTTTCGCGTTATTTAAAAATACTCTGCGTACAGTACTTTGAAAAATGCTGAACCGAATGAAACATAACTCGGAGAAAATGAATTAATAAAAATATGATTCATCTTTCTCGCAATAATGGATTCCATCATTTTTTCTCGAAGGTACGTATCACGTACTACTGCATACTGCTCGCTCATACAGTTTTACGATTGCGCTTTTGCGCCAACGTCTTCCGGAGCGAAAATTCTCGCGGACTCCGATCCCGATTGTATTTCGACGAATGAGAACGCGCGTGAGCGTGTATTTCTGTGAACTACTGTACGTGCAAAGTAGAAGGTTACCGCATGACATCAGCGGAGCCATTAACTGCACTCTATTACTTCGTTCTCCGCGATGATAGGCACGATTCATTTCTTCTATTACCGAGAGTACGCGACCGATCGGTTGATCCGCGGCGGTTTGGATCGGAGAGAGATCGCTGATAAAATCGACGTGATCGAACGAAAGATAACGGCGACGGCGACGGCGACGCGCACGTGTCACTCGCACGCAAGTGCGCGGGGACGTCTCGGGGTAATTAAAATCTTGGTAACGCGCGATTAGCGGACGAGTTTTTATTGACTGAAATAAGAACAGATCTACGATAAGACACGTGCGGCATGCGCGTACACTTATTGCCCGGCGACATCTTTTTCTCCGCTAATAAAACCGCATAACGATGTCAGCTTGCGCAACAGCAGCTTCACACGTTTTCAATTGTCTGAGGCATCGGGCCCCAAACTGGGGCGTGAGGAAATTCTTAGGTGAGGGAGAGACGCAATAATGACTAATGCTTGGCGGCGAGAAAAGAAAAACGTATTAGCACGGTAAAAGACAAAGAAATAAATAAAGTTAATTACAACTATTTCACGCTGTTGTCCCAAATATTAATCTTACGACAAATACTTTCTACCGCGAGCGAGGTTGATCACCCTTTCAATATACGTATATTGCGTTATAAAGAGAAGCATTTGTCGACCTAAAGTCACACACATTTACTTGGCGATTTTGCAAGCCGCGCAAATATGTGCATAAATAGACACATTCATTTTGTAATCGTTATACAGACAGTTCTGAGATACTTCTCGATCTTACCGATCGTATTTTTTTTTTTTTTACTTTCTGAACGCAGGATAGTCGAATTGTCTTCCTTGTGTTGCGCAGCTTTCATGATGATCTCGTCAAGTTGGAAGCTAATGATCTAGGAAGCTTTGACAGAATGTATTTTTTTTTATATTTCCAGAACGATTGATTTATAGCACTATCGTAAAATATTTACGAGCAAAATTTCGCTAGAAATCGCTTGATTCGATTGTTAATTGTAGACTGTGATTTTTTTGGTCCTCGTGCTCGCGGAACTCCGTCGTTCGTTTCCTAGCGCGTAAATAAGCATCTATCGATGCTAATGACAAGTGCACACGCCCGTGCAACCTCGTTCCTATTTTAGAATCCACTCGTATCTTTCCGCGAAGAGGCGTTACCACCTTTCATTAAGCACCGCACGACAAAAGCGCCGCGCTCTAGGACGCCTGAGATTCTTTTCGCTCGCCATGCTTGATTATCGATTCAATCTGCCGCACGTGTATATTTTTCTATCAACTATGTGCATACGTGTAATGAAAATGTGATCATATAAATGTTATGCTAAGTGGCATAATCCATAGTCATATTTCCGGAGCGAAAATGCTTTTGCAATAGTGCAGGAAAGCAAAACTTATGCATTTGCAGAGTACAGTCGATGCGATAAATCGTAAAAATCGTTGTTATTTCGATTTGTTGTTTCTTTTAAAGAAAAAAAAAAAGTTGATAATAGGATTATTTAATATCGAATATCATTAGAAGAATCAAGCAATTTGGATAAATCAATCTTATCTTATAACTTTTGTCAGATACTGACATAAATATTTCCATTTTTTTTTATCTCTTTCAAATTATTATTCGAATTATATTTTTAAATTAATTTCTTTCTATTAATTAAGTACCTTTTCATTTTTAAAAATAAAAAAATATGTTAATTACTTGTGAACGTTCCTCGTTACGTCGAATGAGACGCGAAGCGTAAACGTCTAGTTAACACGCGCGCGTGAACCTCGCGAGTCTAAGGTAGCAACCTTGAAACTGGGCACCACCTCCACCACCTTCATCACTTCCATCATACCACTATCTCTCGTACGACGAGCAAACGGTCGACAGCCGGTAGCAGCGCGTCGGAAGAAACAGCGACGGGTTCAGCGAGCGACGGTGCGGCAGCAACGAATAGTAGAATAAGAGGAAGGGCGAGCGCCGGGAGGGTAGGAGAGACAGGGGATTACGGTGTTGGCGGAACGAAAGAAAGAAGAATTCCTCCCGACGCGCGCGGGCTACACGCGCCCTTTCCTTTTCCCGCGGCTCTCCCTCTCCTCCTTCTCACCCTCCCTTTCCGCGTCCGGCTTTCAGCTGTGTGCTGCTCTCGCTCGGGGAGCAAACCGGATTCGCAATAAAACGAATCCATCTCGAAATGCGCGGGACCAATGAGAGGATCTAACATACAACGTTCAAACTGGATCTCAGTCTTTCCATTTCTCGCACCGTGTTCTCTTTCTCTTTCCTCTTCCCGCCCGCACCGTCCGACATCCGAGTTATCTCTTAACGTCTCACGTTACTCCTCCCTTCGTCTTTCCTGAAAGACTTGCCCTTCCTTTCGCTCGTTGACCCGAGTGAAAGGGAAGGTTGAAAGTAGGGATGACTAAACCTAGTCGAGTTGTGAGAGAGGTGTAAGTACGATAGTTGCCCGATCGTTTGCCCGAGCAAGAAGAAACACAGAAGACGTAAAGAAAAGGTGAGAAAGTCAGATTAATATACCGATGAAAGAGAGAACTGAAAGAGCGGAGAAGTGAGATTAATTAAAAAAAATATCGAAAGGGAGGGTGAAATGATTTCACAAGAGAGAAAAACAGAAAAAATATAAATTATTATAGAATTCTCAAATATTGTCTCAAACAATTAATTTTCGCTTTTTCTGATGTAACCTTCAACAATTACTAATGATTGATTTATGAAAATAAGAAAGAATTAAATACTTTATTTATGAGATAAAATAGTATTCTTATATCAATTTATAGTTTGATAAATTTATACAAGTAAAGTTGATAAATGAGAGAATTATATGTAATTATAGCCACACGTGGGTCGTTGGATTACGTAAGAGTCATGTGATAAGAATGAATTGGAATAGTATTGAAAGAATTTTCATTCAAATTTTCACTATTTCAAAAGTGATGGCATTTTTAAATAACATTAGTTTATTATATATTTTTTCGTTTTACATTACAAAATTTAGTCTAGGGTTCTTTTAATTTATTTAAAAATTAACTAATATTAAATTAATACTTTCAATATTACTAAAAATATTATATCAATAATTTAAAGCAGCTCGCAATATACAAATTAAGATATGTGAAAAAAATTTTAAACGAGAGACCGTATCGTTTGAAAAAGTTGTGAATCTCGGAATCTCGGAAGCGTAAACGTGTTACGAAGGCGAGAATAGAGGAAAGAGCCAAGTGTTTAATTGCATGTGTGCCGAGCACCGAGGAGAAGGACCTTGTGATTCTCTTCTTCCCCTCTCACACACACACACACTCTCTCTCTCTCTCTCTCTCTCTCTCTCTCTCTCTCTCTCTCT